ATCGAAAAAATCCCGAAGTTAACTAAAGGGGAAACTATGGTTCCTTTTCCTCCAGTGACACCCGTTGTAAATTTTTGCAAATACTACGAATGAAAAGTTTATACTGCTGTATTATCACCAAATGGACAATTTTCATTATATATAAACGGTCGCTTAAAAAAAATATATATAAAAGAAAAGGAAATCACTTAGTATGTTTTACTGGCATATCTGTTCCATTATGTGCCATGTCGGGAAGGAGGAGGATTAATGAGAATAAAATACCCCTCACTCGCCCATATTTTGATATTTCAAAGAAACAAAATTAAGAAGCGCAACAATTTGATTGGACACTTGCAATTGTTTTGCACAGGTTCCTTAGCCTGCAATATATAAGTTTGACAAATGATTTATTTTTTGAAATATGTTTTATTCTTAGATTACTTTATGATATAGAAAAATGTCTAGGCATAAACAGTGCTTTAAAAAAAATGTACAGACGATGTATGTTAAGGTAGGCATGAAAATTTAGGGGATTCAGAAGAAGCAATCTATACTTTTCTCGTCAACACACCAAAATGATTATCATTAGTTTTGATTTATGTTTCGTAATAAGATATTTATAAATTCACCTTACTAGGATAGCGTTATCAATTGTTGGTCCAGTTGTTCATTCATCGCGTGTTTTCCACCTATTTTTAATGTAATGATTACGTTGTTCGGTATATTTAAAACCATATCTGTCTTGAAGATTTTTATATAAGTTGCTGCAGAGTCAAAACTATTAGGCATCAAATCATCTGCGTCTTATCAGGCGAATCTTGCGCTTCCAGAGATACAGTATCACACATAGTTTTAATGTCATATGTATAAGTATCGATCAACTACAGTTAAACGGAAAATTAAACATTATAGAATTATGATCTAAAAGTATGAAAGATACTTGATTTAAAACTATCAAAAATGATAATATTACGATTTCACATTAATTTATTTTTTGATAATTTAACTTACATGGAAGATAATATATTTGTATCGATGTATACTGTTTCCTCGGTTTTATCCTGAATCACAATGATTATTGTTTTTACAACTTTTATGTAGTGGGATAATGGTGCACGTGACAAATGTTTATATATAAAAAGAATGGGAAATAACTGTAGCACATTGATTTAAAAAAATTAAATCGAAAACGAAAATACAATAGCAGACAAACATTTAGTTTTCAAAACGCTTGCCTATTTCGCATTTATTAGATATGTTTTCGGAAATACTTTGAGAAAGTGCGTGAGATATATTAGATATAAGAATGTTTACTTTTTGCGTTTCTAAAAATTTGATATAAAAATAAACCCCGTTCAAGTGTGTAAAATCTTGTGATAGGTATAAATATGAAACGATATTAAGATATGTGGGGCATATGTTAAAGAAGCAATCCTCAGGTAAAAATAACAAAAAGGCATCTTGTGTCTCGGTAGCCGAAAACTACTACGGTAGTCAAACTACTTTATCACTAGCCTGTTAACACTGAGGTTATTAGTTCGAAAGCCGCACATGGTAGGTGCATTCGACTCCAATTTTAATTGACTAGGATTGTCAGTTTTCCTACTGAAGGTTTGTGGTTCTCTCTGGGCACTCCAGCTTCCTCCGCCAATAAGATCTGACCGCCACAAAATTGCACAAAATTGTTGAAAGTGGCGTTTAACACCAATCAATTCTTTTCCGATTAAAATTGCCCTATAATGTAACATTCACATACCGTATTACAAATATATTGATCAGTATTCTATTACAGAGGTATTTGATTTGTCCTCTGTTTTTTTGCTGTCTGTTGTGAAATTATTGCACAGTTAAATGACGTTCGTGTGCTGAATTTAATAGTATCCGAAGTCCACTAATGTGTCTTGTGTAGGAAAAATGCGCGTCTGATATACAAAATTATACGCTTAGTATCTTTGATAATTTTTTGCAACAACTGGATAGATGCCATCGCAGGTGGACGTTTTATACCCGGTAATATTCCATGCCCAGTATTCAGCACCACTGTATTGACATGAAATATCATACCTCATTTTTCTGTATATTTGCTTGTCATAAATCTTTAAGATTATTCGAAATCGTTTTCAATGCTCTTTGACTTATTTATTGAATTGTCCTGTTTTAATATGAGCGCCATTGACGAGTATTGTGTAGAAGACACACGCGTCGGGCTTAGTGTTTTATAACCCAGCCTGTTCATTAACCTGTTCCTAGACAGAAATATCGTCAGTGATTGTATCTTGTTATTTTAGCTAGTCATTTGGAAAATAAGGGTTGACGCCAGATTTTTTATAACATACAGTCTATGTAAAATTTCGGAATTTTTGTAGGCTCGATGCGATTAAGAGCTAGACATGATGTAAACATATCTGTTTACTAATGAAGAACTTTTCATGTATCTTGTATATTTTTTGGAGTTGTTATCTTAGTTGCCATTAGCCAACATAACCTTATTTTGATTAAAACTAAGGTTGTGTTCATCTTAACGGCTTGATTAAAAGAAACAATGGTGTTCACAAACTTAATATTATCAAAACTATTTTAATCCAAGTATATCGTTTATTTAATCACACTACCTGACAAAATAAATTTTGTCAAGTTTAATTTAAAATCCTCAGGTAAGATTGACCCAAGATGAATTTGGCTATTTTGAGCTCCCTTTTCGTCATATAGCTCTTCATGTGTTCATGTCTTATACATCCTTGGCGTTTCAGACACACACAATAAATAAAGTGCTATTTTCATTTGGTTTGTTTTATCTCTCAATTCGGTACCGACATGATTTTTATAAATTTTGAAATTATTAAGAAACTAAGGCTTCAACTCCCTCAGGCAAAGTTGACCTTTGATTAAATTGGCTATTTTTTTTCGGTCTTTTTTGGTCAGAAAGCTGTTCAACTGTGTTGGTTCTTATTCATTCTTGGCTTATTAATATTCGGATTTGAGCGTTCCTGATGATTGTAAATCAAGAAAACGCTCTGGACGCATGAAATAGTTAACGTGTTGTTTTCATTTTTTTTAGAAATTAAGGCATATCTTTCCAAATTTTAAAGCTAACATTTTACTAGATTTTCACAGTGTGTGAAAGCGATAGATACACGTAGTTTACGTTTGATAATTTTTAATTTGAGTTATTTCCATTTCCCACAATTGTGGAGGTCAGTGTGCACAAATTCCTTCTTAAGTCAACCAAAATTAACAGGTTATACTTGGAAATGTATGTTCAATATAAAAAAGAAGATGTGGTATGATTGCCAATGAGACAACTCTCCACAAGAGACCAAATGACACAGAAATTACCAACTAAATGTCATCGTAGGGCCTTGAACAATGAGCAAAGCCCATACCGCACAGTCAGCTATAAAAGGCCCCGAAATGAGAATGTAAAACAATTCAAACGAGAAAACTAACGGCCTAATTTATGTATAAAAAATGAACGAAAAACAAATATGTAACACATAAACAAACGACAACCACTGAATTACATTTTCTATGTTGTGTCATCTGTACTATTATTTGTCTGTTTCTCTTTTTATTTTTGGCCATGGCGTTGTCAGTTTGTTTTCGATCTATGAGTTTGACTGTCCATCTGGTATATTTCGTCCCTCTTTTACAGGCTCCTGACTTGGGACAGGCACATACATACAGAATGTGGCGGGGTTAAACATGTTATCGGGATCCCAACCCACCCCCTAACCTGGGACAGTGGTGTAACAGTACAACATAAGAACGAACTATAAAAATCAGTTGAAAGAGGCTTAACTCATCAGTTGGATAAAAATACAAGTGGACGTGGCAGGGTACTTTTACATCCAAACAACAAAAAGACACTAAGTACAGCTCTGAGAGTACTCGCAGTTACTGACAGCTAGTTCAAAGCCACTAACAACTAATAAAAAAAAATCATGCATCTAAGACTAAATTATCAATCCGTACACATCCAACATCCAATGGATTTAGTGTAAAGACGTCATAAACAGTCAGAGAAAAACATGACCTTGTGCAATGCTAAGATACAGGTATCGACAGATTGTAGATCCATGAATGTGTATATGTATATAACAATAATATTTAGTTTGCTTTTAATTTACTGATAACAAAATCAATATTAGTACCAATGAAAACAATATTTAATGATCTAATTACAGTGTTGAATTTGTAACCTTTTAGAATAAGTTTATTTAAAGGATCGATAAGTTTACCAGGATCGTTTCTAAATTTCCGGGCACGGTAAACAACATTGCCGTAAAAATGAGGATGTGCAATCCCATTTGAAATAAGTTTTCTACAGGTATAACCAAACTTCAAAACCAAATCTTTATATCTGTGGAAGAATTTAGTAAAGGTTTTAAGTAATTTGTGGTAACGAAATCCCTGGCTTGATAATTTATCAGTAATTCATAGATTACGTTCGTTAAAATCAAAAACGTCACAACAGACTAGGGCATAGCGAATGAGTTGTGAAATATAAACACCGTAAGATGGTGCTTTATCTTTACAATCTAGCAAGGATCTCTTCTCAAATCTTAATTCCGCATGTTTTAATTTGGTTAGTCAAATATAAAAATCAACCACGGTTTGCCGTACAACTTAGCAACCAATGAAAATACTTCTTATTTGTTTTGAAAGATAAACTTCTTTATTTTTTGTAATTCATATTTATTTTTGAGAATAGAAAGAAGATCATCAAAGAACAGATAAATACATGGCTAATAGATGCAGTATGAGAAATCTTATTCAACAGACCTTTGTCCTTACTTTCATGGTTAGTATATTGATAAATGTTCACATGAAAAGGTAACTTTTGTATTTACCAAAACGTGTGTTCGCTTTATTGCTTGTCTGCACTTCCTTTTTTTTCATCAAATTATTGTCCTTCAACCGATATCTTAAATTGATATCGAGCACCACTGAAGCATATGCATTAAATTCGAATCATGTAGTTGTGCACTACTGTGTCTAGAAACATTGAAACTCAAAAGTATTTTAAATATTTTTTTATTTCTTTTATTTTTTGATCTTAGATTTGTTTACATTTCAAGAAGGTGTGACACTTTCTTGAAAAAGCAATGTATCAAGAAATCGGTTGAATAAAAAAATATATATTTAAACACTGGTTATCAATCTTATTTTTATTTGTTTATACAATTAACGTCCTTTTCTGAGCGACTCCCGAAAACAAAGCTGTAAATCCAACCAACAGTGTACCAAGGCCTAATCCAGCAGCTCCTGCAGATTGAAGTGTGGCGACAATTCCACCAGAGGCTACGCCTCCACCGTTTGCAACGGCTGACCAAGCCATAACTTTAGGTACCAATGTCCCAGCTGCTATACCATACCCGGTAAAGCCAGCTGCACCAAGTAATACAGGTATTGCACCTACTGCACATGTCCCTACTACGACTGGTCCTCCGTATTTCTTTGTTAAATACCAAACATCATTCGATGTCCATCCTCCATTGTTTTGATGAATCATCTCCTATGTGGATAAAGTTAAAAGCTATAAGAAAAAAACACTGTGTATGGCTAATAGATTTTAAAGTAAATTTATTATGTGAAAATATGTTTGTGCATATGATTTTTCTTTTCGAAACTCATTTCATAGGCAAAATTAATAAAACTTGTCTTATCATCTGTAAGATTGTCATTGAAAGATACTCTTGCGTGATTTGATAATAAATGCAAGAATACATCACAAACCAGTTTGTCTGCGGTTTTAACTATCGTCTGTTTATTTTGGTAGACTAGCAATTTCTTGCATTTTTCTTGCATAACGTTTAATTAAGGATGTACACCTCTGAGGAGCCAAAAATTTCTAAAATTAAACTTTTTTTCTTAACCTGATTTTTGGGTTTATATGACTGTAAAAAAATAATTGATGAAGAAAAAATCATATGGTGGTGCACTTTTTTTTTTGCTACGGCCCTTTTGAAAGTACCCAATTTTCATGATTTTCCCATTTTTTATCAATTTTTGGCCTATTTTCGTGAAAAAAATCACAGTTCCACAATTAAACTTTTTTTCATACTTTCAATAAGGATGAAGTGGACCAATCTGAATAAATTTAACTTAACAAAACTATAGGCAGTGTTAATATAAGAAAGTTTTATCATATTTTGATGCTTATGAGTGTCAAATTTACCATGCTGTCAATTTTGTAAATTTGTGATTTTTCTCTATTTTAAGAACAAAATGCATATTATTTCAACTTCTTTGTTATAAATGATTGAAAAAATACATATCTGAGAAATTTGAAAATAAAAAAGTGATATGGGATGTACATGTTTCTGGTAAAATAATTTCTTGTAATCCTCACCCATTTTCTCAAAATTTTGGCTAAAAATACTGACTTGATTGGTAATAAAATTTGAAAAAATTATTACTCAAAAACTACTGATTGTAATTACACAATTTTTTCACAGAGTTAAGTTTGATTATAACATTTTTTGAATTCATTGATATTTTTCACTTGTATTACATGTTTTGGAAATAATTCCAGAACGAGATTTCAACGAGACTGAAACGTCAGAATCCTTAACGGATTTATCGGAAGAACGGAATATTCGACCAGTATCGTAGTAGATAATCTTAGTTTAACAAGGTTGTGAATAAAGGACTGACTTGAAACCCTTCGTCGGTCCAAACAAAAACTAAGTCGAATATTAAAACAAACCCTCAGATATTCAATTAAAGGTATACATTAACGCTCTATTGATTACGAACTGATTCCAGATATACATGTATTTAAACAAATCCAGTCGGTTAAATTGGTATCGTTTTAATTGAAGTACTCAACAAATATATCCGATAAAATATCTTTAAGGTATTGAATTTTACGTGTACCTTATTTCAAAGGTAGCCTGTTATTAATAAATATCGCGTTTTCGTCATTTCTTTTGTATTTTGAAGGAGTTCAAGGCCATACAAGACTACAATCGTTTAGATAATCTGACAGCAGACATAAAGACATGATTAACATTGTTATAACGTTTTCAATATAAACATTGTGACAGCAATCTAAAGATATCTTGTAACCAAGAAATCACTAAACTGTCATATCATTTGATATTCTGCCACACAAATTTATATACTTTATATGTTTCAGTTTCTTCTTGAATTTGAACTATTATAATATTACTTTTAAAAGTATCTACTAAAACTAATCCTAACATAAGGTACGCGAAGATAATAACTGAAAGTTTTGCATAGTACTCTTTTTCAAATGTTTTTTTTTCAATCATTGTTTTTTAGTGCGATTTTTTTTTCACACTTTCATTCTTAGGCATCAGAAAATAAAACTATTACGATAATATATTAATCTTATGTACGGTACAACCAACAGCAGACTATCCGAGCTAATTGTGATCTCCCTAAGCAGTTACATTAATATGAAACATATATAGATATATAAACTTGTAAACATTACCATACAATATCATTTCAATAATATTTCAATATAATAAGGGTCAATCCTGTTCATATATAGATACAAGAAGATGTGGTATGAGTGCCAATGAGACAACTCTCCATCCAAGTAAAAATTTATAAAAGTAAACCATTATAGGTCACAGTACGGTCTTCAACACGGAGCCTTGGCTCACACCGAACAGTAAGCTATAAAGGGCCCCAAAAAATTACTAGTGTAAAACCATTCAAACGGGAAAACCAACGGTCTAATCTATACAAAAAACGAGAAACGAGAAACACTTATGAACCACATCAACAAACGACAACTACTGAACATCAGATTCCTGACTTAGGACAGGTGCAAACAAATGCAGCGGGTTTAAATGTTTTAATGGTACCAAACCTTCACCCTTTATCTGAAACAATAGTGTAACATCACAACATAGAAAGACACACTATAAAATATCAACTGAAATAGCTTAACTCAATCAAAGGACATATTAACACCATTGAACATACACTGAACAAATAAATTTGACCTATGACACAATGTAAATACAAAATAAATAAACTAAGGGAAGAATAATAAAAGTAACATGTTATATCGGTAAGAAATGTTAAACAATTAAAGAAAAACAATATGCTCGAACAAAAATACCATCCATTTGCAATAACTTTAAACACAGGTAAATGAAAATAATGTTGTTGTTAGGTATACCTGTACAGTACCAATAGAGAAAGGAAATATTTTTACAAAATAAATAATTTGGAATACAAAATAAATAAACTAAGGGAAGAATAATAAAAGTAACATGTTATATCGGTAAGAAATGTTAAACAATTAAAGAAAAACAATATGCTCGAACAAAAATACCATCCATTTGCAATAACTTTAAACACAGGTAAATGAAAATAATTTTGTTGTTAGGTATACGTGTACAGTACCAATAGAGAAAGGAAATATTATTACAAAATAAATAATTTTGATGTTCATAGTACGAAGTGAAAATATATAGTTATACCAAACACTTATCAAAGCTGGTATATAGACCAGATATAACCCTGAATAACATTAAATAACAAAAAAGCAATACAATTAGTATCAACAGGTCAAATAAACAAGAAAGTACGATTTGAGAGTACTCGCAGTTACTGACAGCTAGTTAAAAGCCAAAACAATTAATAATAAAAAATCATGCATCAGAGACTAAAATCAACTAAAACACATCCCAGGGATTTAGTATTTTAACGTCATGGACAGTCAAAGAAGACATGACTAGTGCAATGCCAAAAATAAATGTATCGACAGACAGTAGGATAATTAGGAGTTAAACCTCTTTATAGATCTAAACGAACGTGGGTGTGTCTTTATACATCCCACCTGAAAAAAATACAAATTTAGTTATGTTTTAATTTGCGGATGACAAAATCGATATTAGTGCCAATGTAAACTATATTCAAAGATCTAATTACAACATTGGTAAGATAACCTTTACTAATAAGCCTGTTTAAAGGTTCGATGAGTTTACACGGATCACATAGTGATTTCCGCGCTTTAAGTACAATATTACATATGTTCTTTTTTGTATTTCAATCAATAGATTGTTGGGGAAAATAAAATTATTGTTCTGATCTTTCAATATACTTCTCTATGTAAAGGATGGTCTGTATAATCAATATTTACTTTAACGTACTGTTCAGCCATACTACACACTTTTTTGGAACGAATGATTGAAATTACGAGCAAAAAGTGTCGTACAACATTAAAAAAAAGGATATGAAATCGACTACTGTATTATATTCGAATATAAAATTCAAAAAAATTATAACAATGATGGTTACGCTTATAATAAAACATTACATAATTTTAATTTATGTTTACCATCAAGACTTTTATTTATACTTAAAGGTATAAATGTAGTTTTGATATTTGTACTTACACGGGAGAAAATATTTTGCATCTCTTAAGCTATTCCTTAAGTTAAACTCAATATTCTTATGTGTGATGTTTTTCAGCTAATATGATTAGATAATTGTGCACGTGACACACATACAAGACTTATTTATAGTATTTGAATTTTCTTCCGCGTAAGGAATTTGATAATATTACATCAAAAATGATAATAAAGATGCAGACAACTTATATCAAATTTTTAAAATTGCTTTTTTTCAATTTCCCCGTTTGATTAAATATTTTTCCTTATATGCTTAGAGACAGAACATGAGATTTTTAATCTATGGGTGCAACCATTGATGAGAACTTTTCAAACCTTCAAAATCGTCCCATTTTGAAAGTTAACTGTTCATGATTTAATTTTGAACATCTACAAATGAAATCTCTGTATATGTCGTTATACATTAGACAAAATGAAAACCCCTTGTGTCATTGTGTGACAAACATGAGTTTCAGTATGCAGAATGCTGACATTTTCAGCATCCTGGTCTACTGCGGTAAATGAATTCCTTTGTTCATAATTTTGTTCCGGATTACAATATTTCATTAAGGTAATATTTTGACACGAACATATGAAAACAAACAATGAAAAACGTTGACTTTATAATGTGGAATTTTAACGTAGATTGAGTTGTGATAAACTAATGCTATGTTTTGCAGGATTTACGGTTTCTAGTATAAAAAGAAAGAGATATGAAAACAAGGGGTAAATTAGAAACCATCAATCGAAAAGAAAACAACCCTATAACAAACAAAATAAAGGCATAAAAAAGGACAAAAAACAAACAACATTGTACCATAAAATATACACAAAATTGAAGATTAAGCAACACGAACTAAACATAAGGAGTTGAACCCAGGTGCTCCGGAATGATTAACAGTTCCAGATCCCATACGCATGGCAAGTAAAACATTGGTTATTAATTCTGATACGGTGATATCATAATTAAGCTTGCAATAGGGGTCGAGACCGGTGGAAAAGATCCGTGGTTATCTGTGACTCAAATATTCCACAATGTTTTGGTATTTTGTTCGATGAGACATATTTTTGCGTTTTTTTTAAAACTGAAAGCGGTAATTGAATTTTGAAGTGTTTTATTAAGTAATTTTGGTAAATACTGTATTTGATGTTTGTTTAACTGAATTCATAGTTAAATAAGGTATCAGAGTAAATTAATATATATTAAAACAAATTTGAATATCCAACGAGACGTAGATGACTCCGTTAATGTGTTAAAATTAAAGACCATAGTGATTCGTTCTGGAAAGAGCTTAAATTAGACTACATAATTCATTTTAATTTTGGCAGAAGAACTGAATGTAGATGAGTTACACCTCAATAATTTTCAATAGAAACATTGTGAGAGCAACCTTATGATCTTGCAACCTACATATTATTTGACATTCTGCCATGGCAAATTAACGCTTAGTGTGCGTTATTTTCTTCATTTAAGGATTATGTACCCTTTTGTTATTTCAAAGCTAAACATATGGAAGTTTACAGAAAATGCACAGCCTTTCCCCCTTGTACTCCTATATTTGAAAATTTGTTGATAAACAGTTAGAGAACTACTGCATGCAGTGCTAAGCAAATATTTCCCTAAATCAAATTTATTAATAAAGATATTAGTTGAAACAATTATAAATATGGACATATTCAAGGGCAGCTTCTAGGGTGCTCTCGACTTTGGTGATTCATCACTAGCATTTTTTTGGATTGTAAAGGTTGTTAAGGACTTTTGTAAACAATGAACGCAAGCATATCATGGACAAACAAGTGAGTAATCTATGTTTAAAATTTAACAACGAAAATCCCTATAATAAAGACTGGATTTTCTTCCAAAATATTGCTTTGAATATGTACAAAATGTTCACTTTTATTCAGTATTTTTGTTGTTTTAATATTATAGCACTTTAAAAATTTCGTAACACGCATGCTTACCGGGCCATAAACCTTAATTGAAACTCAATACCTTCCTTGAAACTTAATCCTTTATATTTTTAAACCTGAAATGATAGACAAGAAGTTTGAAACAGAATGTTTTTTCACTATCTTTCTTGAGAATCTTTTTTTGTGTTATCATAATATTTAAATTGTGTGATTAATTAGGTGCTTTGGCGTCAATTAAATCCAAAATACAACAACTAAATAATCCTATGTACAGTACAACAATTTTGCCATTTAAAAAGAGGTGGAAGATACCAAAAGACATTCAAAAACTGTTGACAATTCGAAAGCACCAGAGTTCAACTCTTTTTTTGTTGAATTCGTGTTGCTCAATCTTTAGCTTTGTGGTTTTTTTGGGTACAATATTGTTTGTCTTTTTATCTGTTAGTAGGCCTTGATGTTGTCAGTCGAAGATAAACGGATAGCGCCATTTCAAAAATAAAATAAAAGAAAAACAACGAAAAGGAAATAACACTACACAGACAAACTATATACTGTACTACATTTTGCACCTATTTTTGGCTCATGGTTAGTAAAATTAAGTGACAAGTCTCATTCTAAGGGTGTTGTCACAATCAAGAAAAAGAGGACTGGTTGTATAGTTGACATTTGGATCATATTCGTGGTCATCCTTGATACTGGCATTCCATAATGATCAACTAAAAGAAATCCTGATACGAAACTCAAATTGGGATAGCGTATCAATTTGGAGATATATATATTACACATGCAAGGAATGTCACTACACATAGATATTAAAAGTTTATATTTTGGAAGCTAATATCATCTCTGTTGTTATGAAGTTTTGCTTTCAACCGACATTCATTGTCAATTTCTAGATGGAAGTAAAATTATGGGCATACATAACCTAAGAATCCTTGCTCTAATACTTTCTTTGTGAGAAGCATCCCTCCCCCCCATCAAATTAATGATTGGAAAGACATGTGATTGGATAGTATCAACTAATATATATATCGACATTAATTGTCGAAATCCGGATATGGTGTACTAATTTTTGCACCTTTTGTTTGCGGTATACCATCTTTTCCGCAAGTTTATTGTTTTATGTTTGGTAATAAATTAATAGTTAAGATCTATTTTGTACATCTGGTGATCCGTTTGTTTGCCAATCGCCAATGGCAGTCAGCAGGATTTAAGAACATTAATTGTTCGACCTGCTAGCCAAATGCGTTTTGTTAAAATATACTGTTTCACTTTTTTTGGTCTTTTTGGAAAATGCTGTTTGTGCTGTATTTAGACCCCTCTACCAAGAAATTTGTTTGCATGCACACGTATAAAAAGTGCGGTTTTTATCCAACGCAATCATAGGTTTGAACGTTGTTTTCAATTTAGACTTGTTTGTAACTAATATATATATATATATATATATATTTCAGCTGATCTGTAACAATTCCATCTTCATGCATTATATATCATGCACTGTATTACGACGCTAGATTAAAACTGACGAGGAAAAGTAACACCCGGCCGCCGAAAGCTTTATTTTTTGTGAAGCCTAGGTGGTCGAGTGGTCTAGCGCGTCGGATACAGTGCAGGCGATTTGGTGTCACGATATCTCAGTAGCATGAGTTCGAATCCCTTTACAGATCTAACATTGTTGGGCTGATGTTTAGACGAGTTGTATATACAGAATGTACACAGCCATGTATCACCATCACTGCTGGTGATCCGATGCATAAATCTGTTGTAGAGTTGTCACTGGTTCAGACGTACTTATAAAGATAAATATTTCTGTGACTGTATCTTGCATTAATTTGTAGAATCCTTTACAATGGATATTTCAGCTGATCTGTAACAATTCCATCTTCATGCCTTATATATCATGTACTGTATTACGACGCTAGATTAAAACTGACGAGGAAAGGTAACACCCGGCCGCCGAAAGCTTTTTTTTTGTGAAGCCTAGGTGGTAGAGTGGTCTAGCGCGTCGGATACAGTGCAGGCGATTTGGTGTCAAGATATCTCAGTAGCATGAGTTCGAATCCCGGCGTGGGAAGAACAAAAAATTTGCGAAAGCAAATTAACAGATCTAACATTGTTGGGCTGATGTTTAGACGAGTTATATATATATATATATATATATATATTGTGTATATATATATATATATACTGCAATACTTGAACTATTAGGATGTTAATACGTAGAACTGACAACTTCATAATATTGGACCCGGTAAAACTTTAACAAATTTCTTTTTTTCAATCAATTGAAACTTTGCTCCATTTTCAAAAATTTGTAGTCAGTTTGCCGTTAGAATGTTTTTTGTAAATATCCAAAGAATGTGTGCTGGTATGCATTGAAGATTATAGATAACCGTCAATTTAACAGCCAAAAATCACCACACACACACAAAATATCACGGAAGACATCTAGAGTAAATCTGTGGTCTTCAAAAAGACAAGCAAAATTTTAACATATGTCAATGTTAAACAAGTTGTGCATTATTTTAGCAAAGACAACCGTAAATCTGTCGTGAACACTGGACCAGTCATTCATTGATTATCGATGTTTAGTGTCCATTATATTTGTTTTGCGTTCATTGTTGTAGTATAGATATATACAAGAGGGACGAAAGACATCAATAGTTTATCGATGTTCAAATCTCATGACTTGATTAAGAAGACAAATAAATGTAACAAAAAAATCAGGCCGGTGGTTTGCATTCTTGAATTTTTGTTTACATTTTTATACTTTTTTATACATATACATTCTATATGGTATGGGTTTTGCTCATTTCTATAGTCGTAGTCCGTAAGGCAACCTGTAATTGTTCACGTCTTTGTCCTTTTGTATTTGTGGTTAGTTATGTCATTGGAAATCTTACCTCATCCCCTTATTTTCATAATGAATTCTTCAAAGGACATCAAACACAAATTAAATATACAGGATGTTTTGTGAGAACCTTGAAATCGTCTGAAAGGTATAATGCTACATTCCAATAGTAATTTAAAAGTATAAAAAAAAAATCAACAAAAAAAATATTCTGAATATTTTAATTACATTTTCTGGTGTTCAGAATTTCACATTTTAAATAGATGCTTTAGTATTTGAAAAGTATTGGTTAAATTAAAACAATATATTTAGAACATTGGACTCATTTTAGTT